TTCAACCTTCGTACCAACGAAGTTATTGATGGCAACTGGTTCTTGGGCATTACAGTTGTACGTGGCATGAAGATGGGTAATTATGGTGTTTTGTATCATTCTCCCAGTTCTAGTGACCAGCGTTTTGTTGAAGTTTTAGAGAACTGGTTTGAGACATTCCTTGATTCTAGTAAATTAAATATATTGGCTGGTGATTTTAATATTAATTGGCGTCATAACCATAATTCGAATCATTTGAAGCGTTTAGCTGAGTTTTTTAATTTAAAGCAAACGGTAAATGAGTATACGCGTGTTTCCAGGCACAGTAGAACTTTAATTGACCACGTTTATTCCAATTTTGATTCCATTTGTTCAGTTACGGATACTGATTTGAAAATAACCGATCATGAGACTTTAGTGATTAATGTCTTAGACCATGTTAACGATAACGATAATTTTGTAAAATTGAAGTGCTGGAGGAAATATTCGAAGCAAGCTGTTTCGAATCTTGTTGAGAGAAGCCTGGATTTTCCATTCGCGGCCGGTAACTTAGATGAATCTACAGCTGTTCTTAATAACGCTTTGAAAACGTGTACCAATCAACTAGTTGAGCAAAAGTTTGTTTCTTTGAAAAACTCGAACAGCTGGTACAATTTGGATCTTTTGCGTCTTAAACGGAAAAGGGACAAATTGTACAAAAAGTTTTGTAGATCTAATAATGACAATCATTGGACTAGGTACACAATCGCGCGCAATAAGTATTCACAATCGATAAAGAAAACTCGTTGTGAATATGTTCAAAGGAAGATTGATCAGCATCAAAACAACAGCAAAGAGTTATGGAAAATTTTGAAATCTTTATTAAAACCTAGTAATTGCAAACCGCTGTCCATAACTTTTAATGGCACATTAGAACAGTCAGAACAAGTAATTGCAGCTAAGTTTAATGATTATTTCGTAGACAGTGTTTCATTGATTAATCAATCTATTGAATTGGTCGATGAACCTGACGAAATAAAACAGCCAGTTAATAGTAGTTGTAGATTTGAAGTTTTTCACCCAATCACATTAGATGAACTTAGAGTTATTTGTTTTTCATTAGGAAAATCGGCTGGAGTAGATAATGTTAATGCTAGAGTTATTCAAGATTGCTTTCATGTCATTGGTCACATCTTGCTGGACCTTATTAATGAATCATTACAAACTGGACATGTGCCACAAATTTGGAAGGAATCCTTAGTGGTTCCTATTCAAAAAGTTGCTGGAACGATTCAAGCCGAAGAGTTTCGGCGAGAAAATTTTAGAACTTGTTGTTAAAGGCCAGCTGTTGGAGTATTTAAATAGTAATAGTTTGTTGATACCAGAACAATCGGGATATCGGGAAGGTCATTCTGGTGAAACCGCGTTGAATTTGGTATTAGCGAAGTGGAAAAATAACTTGGAGTGTAAAGATACGATTGTTGCTGTTTTTTGGATCTTAAACGCGCTTTTGAAACAATTTCTAGGCCCTTATTGTTAAGATCAATCAAGCGCTTTGGAATTACGAGTACTGCATATAAATGGTTTGAAAGCTATTTGTCTGACAGAACTCAACGGACTGTTTTTAATGATTCTGTTTCCAGTCCCGTGGAGAATACCCTTGGAGTGCCCCAGGGAAGTGTATTAGGGCCCCTGTTATTTATTATGTATATTAATGACTTGCGACGTGTTTTACGATTTTGCGACATTAATCTTTTTGCAGATAATACTGTGTTATTCATTGCAGCTAAGGATTTAGATGATGCCGTTTTACACTTGAATGAAGATTTGCGTTCTATAAGTAGATGGTTGAAGTATAAGCAGTTAAAATTGAATGCAAGTAAAACTAAATTTATGGTAATTTCGCGGAATCGAGTAAATTAGAACGTCTCTGTTGTAATTGATGATGAGACTATTGATCGCGTTCGGGAGATTAAATATCTTGGCGTGATTATTGATGACACACTTAAGTTCAACTCTCACATTGACAATGTCATCAAGAAAATTGCCAAGAAGTATGGAATTCTATGTCGACTGAAAAACGATTTAACTATTGCCAGTAAAATACAGCTATACAAATCAATCATCTCTCCTCATCTTGACTTTTGCCCTTCCATTTTATTTCTGGCCAATGCAACACAAATATCGAGATTACAGCGCTGGCAGAATAAAATAATGCGTTTGATTTTTAGATGTAATAGATTCACTTCCTCAACTTTGATGTTAGACGCCTTACAATGGTTGTCGGTGAAGCAAAGAATTGTATATTTGACTATGGTGTTCATTTTTAAAGTAGTTAACGGTTTGCTGCCTCGATATCTGTGTGATCGAATTGAAAGAGGAAGTGACTTTCATAGATATAATACTAGAAACGCGGTTGAAATAAGAACACCACATTTCTTGACTTGTGCTTCACAAAATTCATTATATTATAAAGGAATAAATGTTTTCAATTCGATGCCTAGACATATCAAACGTTCAGCAACACTTACAGAATTTAAAAGACACTGCATTTCACACGTTAAAACTGTCTTTTGAATAGTTATCCAGTGATTTTTTTATGAATTGACAAATTATTTATCTTGACGAAGTTATCTCTAACGGATTATTTTATATGGATAGCTGTCATAACGACTTTTTAATAATTATTGTAGCACTGCAAACACTATTTCTGTTCGCCACGAGGGTGATGATGGATTTTTAATATATGATTTTGTAGTAGATTAATTAAAAAAAAAAGTAGTCTACAAAGGTTTGAGCCTCGCGCGCGTATTACGGATATAGAGGACTGAATTAAACATTTGATAAAAAAAAAATGCAATTTTGAAGCTTATTTGGAAGATACTTTGAGTTAGTAGTAAGTTTTCTGGCAAATGTTGGGGGTTCGTGAGCATTCCTGACATTGCTGAAAATTATGATAGCATCAGATTGCGGGGTTACTAGTGTAATAGGATGCTTTGTTGATTGTTCATTAACTCTTGATTGCTTGTAATACTTATGAATATTTTAGGTGGACAAAAAGGCGAACTAAGAGGTGGACGCCTGAGCTTTTCCACATTTACATCGCTGTGAAGCAACTGTAAACTTTAGAGGGAATCTATATCTGTAACTGAAACCAGTTCGATTTTGTTTGCCAACCTGGTTAAAATGTCATATTCAATTATCTTAAAGATAAATCGTCCAGCTCAAACCTTTGTAGGGGTAAGAGGTGGGACCATCATCATCATCATCATCATCATCATCATCATCATCAAAGCGACGCCCGTATGTGTTAAGCCAAATTTTACTGTATAGGTAAACCTGGCTTAAGATTTAAGCGGATATAAAGAAATCGGTCCTCAGAACAGTTTATTTTACATGAGACTTTCGTAGTCTGTACTTTGGTGTTCTTCTCTTATATATCTTGGTGTATGCTCTGGAATCCATTAAAATTTTCTTTTAAATCGAAATTTAAGGCATTTCCCAATAGTTTTTCTGGTGTTCTAACGTTTTGCGGTTCACTGGTCACCCTGGTTAAAATTTTCAATTTTTTAATAGATATGCATATTTTGTTAAAACTACTGTAGACTTTCTTAGTGCCAAGTACTTAATTTAAACATTTTGCGAAAAAGTGACTTTAGTGACTATTTTTAGGGAAGTAGTAACTTTAGTGACTTTTAGGTGTAAAAAGTGACTTTTTAGTGACTGGCTTCAAAAAAGTGACCAAGTCACTAAAAAGTGACCTGCTACCAGCCCTGAATTATTGGAAGATGTTTGTGCATCGTTGCTACATACTTTTGAATTAAAAATCATGTTATTTTGACTTTGGCTTATTTCAAGATCAATACATTGATTCTTATTATTGGATTATTATTACTCTAATAATGCACTGTTTGACATTTGAACTGTAATGTGGTGTTTCAATATGAATTCCCGTTTCTCCTAATATTTCCATCATAAATAAAGTGTCTACTTCCTGAAATGGGTCATACCGTTTCTTTTGATCATATTAATCCGGTTTCAATAATTCGTGTGCTCAAATCGATTCGTTAATGATAGAATTAGTAACAACATTTTGTGGGACAGTTATGCGTAGAATTTCAACATGGGACAATTAGACTTGGATGTTGTTTTTAAATAAGCCCAATACAAAGTACATGACTTTCTATTTTCATTCGAAAGTTTACCTCAAAAAGTACTGTTTTATTACCAAAGGGGAAAACCGTCTTAAAGTAACATAGGACAGATATGACTAGAACGGCAGTACGCATACGTACCAAAAATGTCGACGATTTCAATGTTTTTGAAAATGTTTCTAAGTTGTTTTGTTTTGTTTCAGTTTGAATTCATAAAATGTTTACCCAAACTTTAAAACGGTTGACCAAATTGCCTGAATTTATGCGACCCATCTAAGGACGAGTCACGACTCACAGATTGAGAAACGCTGCGTTAGATCATTTCCAATATCATCAATGAAATTGTCAATATTAGTTTGACTTAATTTTCTGACGGATAACTACTTTCTAATTGGGACTTCATCCAATTAGAGAACTCACAACTAAAAAGCGCCAACTCACAACTAAGAAAACTCCTAATGAGCGAATGATGACTGTATCTCCGTACACAAAGGATAATTGGCTACTTGGGCATTCTCCCTGCTGGCCCATAGAAATCGTCCCCCATCAGAATAAATTTCGCCATTAATGAATCCCAAAATTCCATTAGGACACATTTAAAATTTAACACAAGAACCCTGCAGTTTCTTAAAATCCCTTCATAAATCTTCCTAACTGCTTTGGTAGGCCCTTTTACAAACGCTGTCCCATTGCCTTCCATTCCCCAATCACATCTCACCGTCGCGACATTGGCCTATTCTTGCTTCTTACTATACGTATATCTTATCCCCATCCCAACCTTACCCCACATGTGCTGGCTGCCTCTGCAACAGTTTGCGCGAATTCAAGAAACCCCGCGAACAATCCGGGCACCAAGGACAAGGATAAAAAAAGGCACAAAATGCTTACATTTTTCATCGGGCTCCCATTCAGCTGATTGTGTATCTGCTGGTGATGCTGCCGCACAGGTGTCGACGTCTGCTGCTGCTGATTGCCATTATCGGCACAAGGACCCAAAGTAGCTCCCTCGCAGGGCATCACACCGAGGCCACTGCTGCTGCTGCTGTTCAATTTCTTGTACTTTAATAATCCAAAACGAAGCATCCTGACAGGGGGGATGTGAAGGCGTGACACGTGCCTCACCGGTCTTTAACCACCGGGATGAAGGTTAATAATTGATGGTTTTCTTTTACTTGCTCGATGGGAGCACGATTTCAATAAATTTGCGCGAGCTCCCAGAACTACCACGGCCCGGTTCAAACGGAAACGAGGCTCGACAGAAAACACGGCACAGGTAATACCGGGCGATAAAAATCTCAGTTTGATACTTGCTACCCTTGTGATTCACAACTTTCGGTTCTTCGTTTTTCCACGTACTTTCCTCAATCTCCACGCTTTATGTTCGTTTTGGGATAATTTTAACGAGATTTTCCGCCTTCTTGGTTTTTCTTTTTTGTTTTGCACTTGTCTCACTCTCCCCCCAACAACGGTCGTTATCATCAACTTTGCCGACGCTGAATATGCGCGATCTTAATTAACATCATAAATTCGCACCGAATTACACGCACAACGTGGTTCAGGATAAGTTTCGCAATTATAACTCGGTAAACTTTGGTTGGTTTCCACTTATGCGAGCGCGCGCTTTTCACCCCAGCAAGAGATCCTGCACGTGACAAACCAAGTGTGGCCAGTAGGGCGATGCGGTATGTTTGCCAGACTAAGACGACCGCTCACGGCGAAAGACTGTGAAAGACTGATTTTCACGTTCGCTCGACTGTTGTTTTGTTGATACACTGACTGCTTGCTTGTTATTGCCGTCACACAGCCGACCGCCCGCCCACCAGCCAGGTACACACAACACACTGAAGAGGGTTGATGCAACAGGATGATGCGAAGAAGGTGAAATATGACAAGGAAAATAATGCTACTTATGCTCTATGCTCTCTCTGGTTCTCGGTATGTTTGGCTCTCTCGTCGGTGACTGGCCTATGTTTGTATGGGTGAATGTTTATGATGAGCAGAATGCACCGCGAAGAAAACATGGTTGAAGTGTGGAAACCTATTATATTTAAATCGGAAATAGCAGAACTGAACTTTGGAAGGGTGATTAAAATGTAAATGCAAATTCATGAGCATGAGCATGAGCATGATTGACCGCCCACGGTTGCTACTCTGTTATTGCCAGATCAGCTGTAATTACACAGAGAACCAATAGACGATGCTTGGGACTAGCAATCATCCTCAATGTGTAAAAACTGGTGATCTCAAATTAGGCAATACCAGCGCCAGCCGCGCCTGAACGCAGGTCAAGAAAGGAATGGGTAGGAATGTGTTGACGTGACACTCGCTTTGATGGAAGCCGAGAAATCCTCTGCACTTCCACGAGGAGTCACTGGAATGTTGGGTAAGAGGGTAGGGTTTGCAGCAAGGTTCGTTTTGGTAAACGATAAGCTGAATTGATGTTTAAACGATAGGGAGGGGTTACTGTATAAATAAATAAAAAGGAATGATCTCAGCCAAATAACCAAGTGGAGCTGCACCAAAAGCAACCGACCAAATTCATATTATATTATAATAAAATAAAAAGTAAATAACAATGATAAGCTATTTGATACACCTTCTGGTCCTTCAGGATCTACAGGACAACTTTTTTCTAGAAATGAAAATTATAGTTATATAATGATAGTTATATAGTGATATAATGAGATTTTAAAAATGTGAAATAAAACTAATTTACTAGTCATGCAATATATAAAATAATGTTAAATAAACAAGTATTACAAAATACAAATAAGCTCGATTTCAGTTAACCTCAATACATTCAACTGATTTCAACTTCTGATATTTTATTGGAATTGAAACAAACACTTTATTATGCACCATGGAATTTCTTAACGCAATATGGAATGCTTTTTTTAATATTGGTAAACTTTCATAATGCATCATTAGTCAGAAAAATCGAGGTTATTTGGACAGTTAACAGTTTTTATGCAATTGTAATCATGCATTCCAATGTTTTTTTTTTGTATTTTCCTGAACGAAGGCTGAAAATAGTGAATCATTATAATATTAATCTAAAAATCTCGAAGAGCTGAAAATAAACTTAAAGATTTAAATCAATGCGTCCAGCCTAAACGGAGGGCTCGCGAACACAATAAGCTTCCTCATCACTCATATTCATAATTTGATTAAATAAGTATTTACAAATATACAAATAAATATATCAATAAGTTATGTAACTTTCTATCCTGGAAAGGAAAACTTAAATGGTTAATTTCACTGTCATATAAACGTTAAACATACATTAGAGAAAATCAAATGATGTTACGTTGCTTCTTCCAGTTGTGTTTTGACCCTGTTATAAATATTTATCAATGAATATTTAATAATAATATAATAGGACCTAGGATGTATTCAAACTCAAACTATATCAAGATGGAAATAAAATCATAGTGAATTATTCGTATACACCTAACCGTAAAAAGCCGAGGAACATGCATCATGCGACCGTGGTCATCACTCTGACAAATGAAACGATGAACGATGAACATACATAAATCTCGAATACTCCCCCGAAGGGACGCATCCACTCCCGCAAACAATGCATCCCATCGTCAATCCGGCGCAACCAGCATCCCGCCCACGCATGCCAACACCACCATCAGATAGGAGAAATTTTCCCCTACCTGATGGAAGAAATGTAAATGCAAATTCACCAAATCAAGAACAACATGTGAAAAGGGCATACAAGCTTTTGGTAAACAAACATTCTTATGCCCTTTTCTCGCCACCCATATAACATCAACGCAAACCATGAACATCGCCGGATAGGGGAAGGTTTCCCTTTCCCAATGATGTTGTTAGTTTGCGTGGGCGACCCTCGGTTGGCGAGAAGAGGGCCTACAAAGGTTTGTTTACAAAAAGTTTGTATGTCCTTTTCACATGTGGCTCTTGAAATAGAATACAGCCTCGATGTGATGGACTTTATATTGGCAGAGATAAGTGTATGCTGCGCACAGTGGAGCAGATCTGGATGATTAATGCTAATAACACACACTTACAAACAACTATTTTTACCCGAGACGTATTCCATCTAAGACGTAAATCACGGAACGTAAACAAACATGGCATGTAAATTTAATAGTGCGTTTGATTGAATTGATTTTTTTTAAGTACTAGATTTAAGTTACAGTGATAAGTTAAGCGGGGAAAATAAAGAAACACAACTTGATGGTTTCGAGTCACAAAACTGAATAATTTATATTTCATGTTGCCGATCACTCACAACCATCGTCGTGCCGAGTGTTCTCGAAGATTGACATTTGGTTGACGTTCTACGTCAATTATATCGAATGCGCAGGGTGCGCGAGTAGGGTATAACAATTAACCCCCTTTTAGAATAGATTATAGATCATTCAGAATTGACATTTGTCAACATAGTTTCATTTCATTATACATACAAATTCAATAAAAAACTTATTCGATATGACGGGGAATCACAACTTAATCGTAACGGTAATCATCACTTCGGTTTGACTTTTTGTTTCGTTTCGATTTCCTAGGTTCTTGTAGTTCAACTTGGGTGAATGTGCGTTTTCGTTTTCTGCTCCGAGCACTCTCCTTCGGAAGCTCATCGGCTTTGCCTTCGCAAACCTCTGGTATCTCCTTCGATTCCATTTGTGCATCGTTCGTTGTTTCGTCTAGGCCGTTCCGTGTGATGAGAACGTTTGGCCTTCGCCATGCTAACTCTTTCTTACGAATCCTGATTTGATTTCTGTGCGCCATTGCCTCTACGTTTCCAATACGTATCTGGAAAGTGTTGGGAGAGTACTTTTTTAATAAATATTGCTTTTATCCATCTAGCATGATGGTGGAGACTGTGATTTTTGTACCACAGTTCATCCCCCGCCATCAGATCATCAATTGCATCATTTGATTGCTTAGGGATTTTCCCGACTAAGGATTCTGCGATGATCTCATCATTTGGTTGTGGTACTTCTAATTGGTGTTTATATTGTTTCTTTGGGTTAATAAGATCTAAAATAGTTTTTGGTGTATAGGAAAATATCCTCTCAGACGGAAAATGTCCGTCTCTCGTCATGTTGTTGTTTCTAAAGTTAAAGAGAAACAGGTTTATTTGGTCTTCCAAATCTAACTCCATGATCTCTGGTTCCAGTAAGAATCGCTTCAAAACCTCTTTCACTGTTCTAACTAATCTCTCGGCTTGCCCGTTACTTGAAGGGTTGTAAGGAGGGCTCTTCATCACATTAATACCTTGCCTCTCAAGAAAGGCATTAAAATCATGGGAGTTAAAAGGAGGACCATTGTCTGAAACTAAAACGTCTGGCAGGCCAAAACGTGCAAAAAACGCTACCAACTTGTTTAAAACCTTATTACAATCAGTGCCTTGTCTCATCCATTCTACTTCAATCCATTTGGAGAAACTATCAACGATAAGTAAATAAGTACGATGTTCAAAATAGAAGAAATCCACGTGTATTCTGCTGAAGGGCTCAATTGTCGGTATCCATTTGGATGAATTCTCTGGCTTATGAGGAATTGCCATGCTATTACAGGCATCACAAAGTGTTACAAATCTCTCAATGTCAGCATTTATTCCGAACCAATAAACCATGCTTCTTGCCAATTGCTTCATTTTTACTTCACCTGCATGATTATTATGTAACAGCTTCAAAACTTCTCTTTGATATGTTTTTGGTACAATTACTCTGTCTTTGTAAAGTAGACAATCGTCGACTGACTCCAAATCTTGTTGGTTTGCGAAAACTTCACTGAAACGTTTGCTCACTTTTTCTGGCCAACCATTGTGCATAAATCCTTTTATTTCCTGCAAAAACTCATCCTTATTGGTCCCTTCAGCAATCATTTTGTAATCAATTGGGATATGTTTACTAAAATTTATACTTTTAATAACATTAGCGTCTAGTTCTTCAGGAACATCCTGCGTCAAAGGGAATCTGGAACAAAAGTCCGCATTTCCCAACTTGTGTGAAGGTCTATAAATTATATCAAAGTCGTAAATCGATAAGTCCAAGATAAATCTTTGGAGTCTAGTTACATAAATCGAATTGTTACCCGTTTTCCCAAAAATTCCTACGAGTGGCTTATGATCTGTGTAAACTGTAAAATGTTGACCATATAAATACTTGTGAAATTTTTTTATCGTACAAACTAGTGCTAACGCTTCCAAGTGTAGAATTGGATACTTTTTCTGGGCTTGATTCAATGAAAATGAGGTAAAGCTAATCGGTTTTTCTTCGTTATCTACTACATGTGCTATTAGGCCGCCGAGGCCATAACTAGATGCATCTGATATAACCACAATCGGCTTCTTAGGATCATAAAATTCAAGAAAATTTGTTTTCAGTAAAAGATGCTTGCTATCTTCAAAAGCTTTCTGACAATTGTCATCCCAAATG